AGGAAGGGATACAGGTGTTTCCAGAGCTTTCCTGGCAAGGCAGGCTGTAAGAATTGGTTGTGACTGTAGATTCTTTACTCTCCATTTACGTAAACATTTGTATGCAAGTGTGGACATGCAACCCTGAACATGTGTATGTGCTGGTGTGTGTATCCTAGGAGGACACTTGAGTGGGAAGACATCAATCCCTGGCTTGAAGGTCACAAGAAAAGAGAAAAGGAGATGTCAACTGCTGGCTGGAAACTCACTCGGCAGCTGGCTTAGTAGACACTCCACCAGGGAAAGCCTTCTGCCAAAATAATTGAGAATCTTGTAAAGATAACTTTCCCATGGAACCAAAAAGAATGCTGGGCCAGAGAGACAAAAGACACGCATCGTAATCTTGACGGTCATTCATAAAACACCCTTTGTCTATTCAGGGAGACTTTAGAACTGGGCTGTGTGGGCCAAGGAGAAGAAAGAACAAGGAGGAATTTTTATCGAGTTACTCTTTCAGTGAACTGAGCTTTCTATGAAGGGACTGAAGCCAGCGTCGTTCAGTACTTTTGCTTTTAAAGCAAGGCTTGTTTCAAGTTGAGAGACATCATATATGGAAAATGAATTTTCTGAATGGTTCCTGGAAACTTAACAATTGATGGTTTTTAAAAAACTGAATTCAATCCAAGGGGATAAAGGATTTTTGTTGTTGTTGTTGTTTTAGTTTTTTACTAGTATTGTGTTAGCATTCTGTTAGCTTGTATTAACTGTAAATGATAGGGTTTCATTATCACATTTTGGTACATGTCATATTTGGTCATATTCACCTCTTGCTGCTCCCTCTCATAGTCCTTCTATAGTCTCCATTCTCTCCCAGACTAACAAACTACTCCCTTTCTAACTTTGTATCCTCTCTCTCTCTCTCTCTCTCTCTCTCTCTCTCTCTCTCTCTCTCTCTGTGTGTGTGTGTGTGTGTGTGTGTGTGTGAGAGAGAGAGACCCAGTGAGTATTACTTATGGGACAGTGAGTACTTTACCAGTGGCCACGCCACCGAAGAAAATGTCTGTCTCACGGGATGCTTAGCTTTTAGGTAAAGATTGCTTATCTTGGAAAAGGACACTAAACATCTGTCTACTCCACAGGCATAAACCCTGCCCTCAGCCCACAGCAGCAAATGACCACAAGAGGAGGCCTGCCATTTGTATGCACTGAGTTTTTAAGGTTTTAAGGCTTTTTCCTGAGCATTTTTAAAAATCAAATTCATGAGTTTTTCTTTAATTAAATTTACTTATTTATTTTACACCCCAATCACAGTTTCTTCTCCCTCCTCTCCTCCTATTCCTTCCCCTATCTCCCCAACTTCTATTAGAAATGGGCAGACCTCCCATGGGTATCAACAAAGCAGGGCACATCAAGTTGCAGCAAGACTAAGCCCCTCCCCTGTTTTAAGGCAGGCCAAAGCTAACCCAGCCAAAGTGTTAGGGGCAGCCTGGGCAGCCTCGGCTCCCACTTTTAGGAATCTCACAAGTAGACCAAGCTACACAACTGTCACATATATGTAGAGGGACTAGGTCAGTCCCATGCAGACTCCATTGTTGGTCAGAATACAAAATTGTACAGCCACTTTGGAAATCAACAGGGTGGTTTCTCGCAAGACATAATTTTTTTGTTGGTTTGGTTTCGGCCTTTTGGATTTTTTTTTTTTTGAGTTTCTTTATTCAAGGATTCATATGCCAGGCAGCTCATCCGAAGCTATCCGTCCACAACTGGAATGGGGCCAGCTGCAAAGAGAAGGCTCTGGAACAGAGCAGCATTGCTCCAGAGGCCTCCCACCCTGTTGGCATCAGCTGTGGAGTTATGACCCAATAGCTATTCGCTGTGCTTCTGGCTGGGCTCTCTCAGCAGAGGGGAAATAAAGTATGGAAGGAAGGACTGCTCATCACGGCAACATCCCAGACATGGGCAACCATCTGCTCTTTAATTACACCAAGCCCTTTCCAAGTTCTTGTGATGCGTGCTTTTCTTTCGCAACTGCAACTGCGTTTAGTCATGGCATTTCCAGAGCGGCTCCATCTAGGGAGGATGCCAGTAGCCAATGAGTCACATTTGTAACTCGTGAAAGGGATTACGTGAATTGAGAGCAGATGCCCTGGTGTAGTTAGTCCAGAGGCAATTAGAGGAGGGCACTGTCATCTTGTACACCATTTGAGTCCGTCTATTTCCCATTGCTGTAACAAAATACCCCAAACCAAGTGATTTATAAAGAATAAACGTTTCTTCTCCCCATGGCTCTGGAGGCTGGGAAGTTCAAGAGCATGGTACCCGTGTCTGCTAGCACCTTCTCAAGGACTTAGCTTTGCAGAAGACGTTACAGTAAGAGCGCATGTGCCAGCTTAGATCTACCTTCCTCTTACCCACCAGTCGCCTCTTGCAGACCCAAGTTGATGGATGACCTCATTCAATCCTCATTAGCCATGCACACCCCCCCTCCCCCAAGCCCTAACTTCAAACACCATTGACCTATGAATGTGGGGATTCAATTTCTAGCCCATGGGACCTGGGGAGATAGGTGAAAGCTGTGGCACCCCACCACAATGGATTCCAACCTGCTGCTGCTTCATCCCATCCACTAATCCCCAGTCATTCATCCAAGTGTGAGTTCAGACATGTCAGGGGAGATGACTTAGTTTGGTAAAACACTTGCTGTGTCTCAGTTTGCCTCTCCGCTGCTGTAATGAAACATTGACCAAAGTACAGCCTGGAGAGGAAAGGGTTTATTTGGCTTACAGATTTCAAGCATCATCAAGGCATGCTTCAAGGCGGAAGCCTAGAGGCTGAACTTGAAGCAGAGACAGAGGAGCACTGTCACTGCTTGCTGGCTTGCTCTCCAAGGCTCACTTTCTTCTCTCCCCTCCCCCTCTCCCATCCTCCTCTTCTTCTAGAACAGGGTTTCTGGGTGGTGGTGGTACACATCTTTAATCCCACCAGCACTTGGGAGGCAGCAGCAGGCATATCTCTGCGTTCCAGGATAATCAGTACTATCCAGAGAAGCCTCGTCTTGAAAAATAAAAAAGACAGGGTCTTGCTGTGTAGCCCCTACCTGGCCAGGAAGTCACTATGTAGGCCTTAGTCTGCCTTCTTATACAACTCAGGACTGTCTGCCCAGGGGCACCACCCATACTGTGCTGGACTACTCCACATCAAGCTTTAACCTAGGAAATGCCTGCCCTACAGACATGCACACAGGCCAGCCTGGCAGAGGCAGTTCCTACCTTGAGATTCCCTTCTCCTGGGTGACTCTACTGTGTCGGGATGACAGAAACGAATAACATGTCATGCCAGCATGAGTTGAAGCCCCAGAACCCACAGAAAGCCAGACACAGTAGTGCATATCTGTGGCTTTAATGCGTCTAAGAAGAGAAGGGAGGCGGAGACAGGAGAATCCACAATTCACAGGTCAGCTACCTTGACTTACACAGTAGCAAACAAGAGACGGTGTCTCAAACAATGTAGAAGCAGAGAACTGACCCTGAGGTTGTCCTCTGACCTCTACACATACAGCATGGCATATATCTGCCTGCACACTTACACACATACACATAAGCTAGGACAGTGGGGTCAAGTAAGTTTAGCTTTTGATACTAAGCATCCTGTTGGCATTTCAACCGGTTTTGTTGCTGGAGTTTCTTTTCCATCTGGTCCCGCAGCCACTAGCCCCAAATAAACACACAAAGACTTATATTAGTTATAAAACTATTGGTCAATGGCTAGGGATTCTTACTGGCTATCTCTTTGTTTTTAACCCTCACCACTAATCTATGTATTTCTACATGGCCTTATCTTACCAGTGAATGGCTGGTGTGTCCTGTCTTCACAGTCTCTCTACATGGCGTCTCTTTCTAAGGGGCTCTCTACCCACCCTTCCCAGAATTCTCTTCATCTCCTAGTGCCGCCTATCTTTCTGCCTCTATTGGCCTAACAGTGTTTTATTCATCAATCAGTAAGAGAAACATATACAGGACATCCCCCATCAATGTTTAAGTATACTGCTGACTCCATATGTAATTTGGTGATGCATGCATTTAATCCCATCACTCAAGAGGCAGAGGCAGGTGGATCTCTGTGAATTCAAGATCAGCCTGGTCTGCACAATGAATTCAGGAAAAAGCCAAGGATGTATAGAGAAAACACTGTTCAAAAAAGTTGAAATCAATCTATGAGGTCATTGGGTTGGTGATATGAATTACCCAAGTGAGCAGCAATCTCAATTAAATAGTTATGGAGATTAGGATTGTTGTTGTTGTTTTAAATTTTATCACATCTTATTTATTTATGGGGAAGGGGCATGTGTCATGGCACACATGTGACCATTGGAGAACAACTTGCAAAAGTTGAGTCCTAGGTTTGAACTCAGATTACTAGGCTTAGCAGCATGCACCTTTACCTTCTTGGCCATCTTGCCAGCCCTATGATTTTTTTTGGACTAATTAATTAATGTTTTGGTGCTGGGAATTGAGATCAGCACCTTGGGCATACCAAGCATGCGCTCTACTGCTAGGCTATACTCCTAACCCTGAGAGTTTGATTGTAAAAACTGAACAGACATTGATTATGTTGGACATCGTAGGTTTGCATAGAACATGGAGCCATGTATGTTTAGGGAACTTTTCAAGTGATTCTACAGAGTTTTTCTGGTCTACACAATATTCTGCCCATCTGAATGCCTTAGTTGGGAAGATGCTGGCTCTTTACTGTAAAGGGAAGGGCAGGCATGTTCTTGTCCAGGCCTAGCTGGCAGCCTCACCATGTGTCTCCATTTTCCTTTGCATCTCAGTGGAGTCAACCAGGCCATGGAGTGTGTCAGAGGCACCACAAGGACAGTGGTGTGGGCCCTGGCGTGTGACAGGTCAGAAAGGACCACATTGTACACAGTGTAAAACATAATCGTGACTGTAGGTGGCCAATTGGCTTCACCCACATCGTTTGCACACTGCATCCCTCCCTGACTGGCCTTTCTCTTGCAGGGGCCATAGGCCGGCTAGAAGATGATATTGTGACCCCAGGTACAAGAGACGGCATGGTGACCCCAGGCCTAGAAGACAGAATAGGAACCACAGGTGCTACCGGAGGACTGAATGAATCTACTGGCAAGGCGCCTCTGGTGAGTGTCTGGGGGAAGGGGCGGTGGCTCCAAAGGCAGGCTGTCAAATGCCATGGTACGGTGTGTACTTGTACAAGAAACCAGCTGCTGTACAAGAAAGTAGTGGTGTGGCTCAGGACAGAAGGTACGTCTAAGTCTTATCCAGAGACAAGGGAGCTGGTGTGGTGGGCACACACAATTTGACAGCAATAGACTTCTCAAAGTAGTAAGAATTCAGCCTAGTATTTGCAAACCTGAGCTGAAGCCAGGTGTAGTGGTACTTGTCTGCAATTCAGGTACCTGGGAGGCAGAAGTGGCACATCTCTAAATATGGGCCAGCCTGGTCTACATGGTGAGTTCCAGGATAGCCAGAGTTCATAATGAGAGTCTGTCAAACAAACAAACAAGCTAAAAAGGACTGGATTCAGGGAGGTTTGGTAGGTCCCTGTGGGGGGGAGGGGTTCACCCAAAGGGATCATGAAAGCCTCAAGCCAGTTACTACACAACCTAACTCTGTATCTCTTCATCCGGATCATTTGCTCTGCCCTCATGGATGAACAATGAAAAAGTTAAAAAGCCAGCACTGGGCTGGGGAAATAGCTCTGTCAGTAGCATGCATGCCTTGCAAGCATGAGGACCTGAGTTTGATCTTTAGAACCCATGTAAAAGCCAGAGGTGATGGTACCTGCTTGTAACCCTAACTCTGGGGAGGCAGAGAAAGGAGGCTCTCTGGGGTTTGCTGGCCAGCTAGCCTAGCCTAATAAGTACACCCCAGGTCAGTAAAAGACCCGTCTCTTAAAACCGCAAATACACATTCACATATGTCCACTCACTGTGTGGACGGATTTTTTTTTTCCTTTGGGCCACCAGCTCACAAAAAAAAAAAAAAAGAAAGAAAGAAATGTCACGGAGACTTATTAATTATGAAAGCTTGGCCTAGAGCTTAGGATTATCCCACAAGCTCTTATAACTTAAATGAACCCACTCTTATGAATCTACATTTTGTCTCATGGCTTTTTACCTCTCTCCCATCTCGCACCTCCTGTTTCCTCTTGGCCTCTCTCTCTCTCTCTCTCTCTCTCTCTCTCTCTCTCTCTCTCTCTCTCTCTCTTCCTCCCTCCCCCTTAGGTTCATCTCCTCTTCTTTTCTCTTAGCCTGGAAGTCCTGCCTAACCTCTTCCTGCCTAGCTATTGGCCATTCAGCTCTTTATTAAACCAATCACAGTGATGCATCTTTACACAGTGTAAAGGAATATTCCACAACTGCCCACCTTCTTCCCTAAATACAGTTACACATAAGACCAGAGCCACTTCCTAGCCTTCCACTGTCACGGGATGGCTGTGAGGAATCTTTCCTGCAGGAGTCAGTTCGCATTATGAAATCTCCTCAGCTTTGTTCACTGAATATACTTAAAAAGTTGCCTGCGGTATACTGAGAATATTGAACTCATTTAAAGGGCCTGGTACAAGAGAAGCTGTCCCCCTCCACATAGCTCTCAAATCGATGCTATGGGAGGAAAGTGCTAGTCCAGTGTGAGGGAGAGAAAATATTAAGTGTGACTGAGCCAGTGTGTTTTAAGGAGCCAAGGGACAGGAAGTCTGCATGCGAAACATTCAGAGTTCATTTCTGGACTGAACCTGGTTTTATCCCCATCTCTACTCTGGTTTTTCAAGAACACGGTTTCTCTATGTATCCCTGGCTGTCCTGGAACTAGCTCTGTAGACCAGGCTGGCCTTGAACTCCCAGAGATCCGCCTGCCTTCGCCTTCCAAATGGTGGGATCAAAGGCGTGCGCCACCACTGCCGCCCACCCCTGCCTCCACTCTTGTTTATTTATTTCCATCTGGGATTTATTCTTTTATTTTTTTAATGCATGCTACCTTAAAACATTTCCTTCAGGAAGTCAGGCCCTGTAGGTTTTAAACCAGAGGCTTTATTTTCTCTTCTGCCTCGCTCACTCCTAACAGGTACCAACACACACAAAGATTCCCTTTGAGGAACTGCCCACCCCAGGAATCTCAGACCATGATGGCGAAGAACATAAGAGTATAACCACTGTCAGAATGGTGACTAGCCACTCTGTGGATAAGGAAACAAGTCACCCCAACAGAGGTGGGTCCACTCTTATGTAATCCATGGAAGCCAGAAGCAGAAGAGTCAGAGACTTGAGGGAATACAGTATAAATCCCGTGCCAGGCTTTGCGTGCTGGGAACAGAATTCAATACCAACTTCAGTTTATTGGCTTCCTGGGAATATCACTCAACCTTGAATGGGAACTAGTGTCAACCCCCCACAGGGGCCAGCGACTGGCTCCCGGTGTTGTGTTGCTGACCCCGTGTTAAGGACTTTATGTTGGTGGCTGGAGAGAGGGCTGAGTGACTAAGAGCGCAATACTTTCAGATTTCAGTTCCCAGCATCTCATGACCTCCTATGGTGCCAGCTCCCAGGAACCCAACACTTCTGTCTTCTTAGGGTGCCACACACAAACACATACATGTAACAAAAGTAAAGCAAGTATTTCAAAAGGAAAAACATTTGTGTAAGATGGGTCATATGGCACAGTAGGTCAGCAGGTAAAGGTGCTTGCTGCCAAGCTTGAAGGTCTGAGTTCAATCTCTGGAGCACACATGAAGGAAAGCATCAAAGCCCGAAATTCGTCTTCTGTCGGGCACCACAGCTTAGCTCCCAAACATGTATAGATAAATAAATGAGTAAATAAATAAATAATAATGACTTTTAAAGAATCTCAAGAGCAGCCATTCTACACTGAAGCTTCCCGTTTTACCTTATGGCTGTTGTAAGTCAGACTCACCTGGACTTTGGATTGTACGCATCATCCAGATTGGTGCCTGCAGCCTGAACTGACTTTGTAGCTGAGGTTGGCCTTGAAGTTGTGATTTTCCTGCCTCTATTTTCCAAGTGGTAGGATCACATATGCCACTGTGACTGACTGCATGTTGTATGTTATTCTTTAATGCAAACTTCCAGGTCTGGTTGCCAATCTGGCATTAAAAACTCTACAGTAATTCTAAGGATTTAGAAACCGATTTTAGATCCGTAACGCTCATTGTTCTAAGGCACAAGGGTTGCAAACTAGACGCTAGCATGGGCTACATAGTAAGACTTTATTTGCCAAAACAAAACAATAGCATGGGGCTACATGAGGTGCTGTCTCAAGTACAAAGTGAAGCCGTTCACATTTGTATGCCTGTGTACATACCACTATCCACAAGATTTAACACATGGAAGGAAGCAACTCAGTATTCACAAACAAATGAATGGATTAAAAACATACAGTAAGTACACACAGTGGAATGTTACCTAACCCCAAAAGAGAAATAAATGCTTACAATATATGTGAGGCAAATTCACCCAGACGCCAAGGATAATGTGGTGTGAGTCCGCTTGCATGAGCCACCCAGAGGTGCTGAAATGGGTTTCTAGGCGCTAAGGGGGGGATGAATGAAGAGTTACTGTTTAGTGTGTGTAATGTTTCCACTTTGCATAATGGCAAGGATCCATGTTTTGAGAATGTGGTTCAGCAGCAGAATGCTTTTCTAGCATGGCCAAGGGCTTGGGTCTGAGCCCTGGCACACACACACACACACACACACACACACACACAAGTTCAGTAAATGGATGGAGGCGATGGTCGCACATCCTACTCAATGTCTACTCAGTCCTACTCAGCTGCATGTTTCAAAGCATTGATGTTGGTCAGGCATGGCAGTACACAGCTTTGATGCAGGCACTCAGGAGGCAGAGGCACAGAGATCTCTGTGAATGTGAGGGCAGCCTGGTTCATAAAATGAGTTCCAGGCAAGCCAGGGCTGCACAGTGTGCTCCTGCCTCAAAACAAAAGACAAAATCATAATTAATGTCATAACTTTCTTGCCATGTATATTTTGCTCCTATTGTTTTTGTCAAGTGGGGTGGGGGCTTGTTTATTTATTTGGTTGGTTGGGAATTTGGGGGTTCTCTGGATCTAATCTAGTGCCTTCCTCATGGCTAGGCAAGAACTCTACCACGAGATACATCCTGTAAGTAAAGTACATTGAAGTGAATAAAATTTTGCTGCAAGCTGTTAAGAAAACACTAACATTAACTACCAGGCAGAACCAAGTCAGCCTCAGCCAGGAAAGAATAAGGAGTGTTAGAACACATCTCAAAATTGTAGAGGATTTCTCATGTTTAATAGGAGTTAGCAGCCAGTTAGCTGAAAATGCAGCTTTCCCTATTTATTGAGCATTCCTGCTATCAAGCCAGCTCTTGGGTGCTGCGGACATGGCTCAGTGTTTGAGAATACTTACTGTTCTTGCAGAGGACCTGGGTTCAGCTCCTAAGAACCACATAGCTGTAACCACCAGTAACTCCAGCATTTAAAGACCTTGACCCTCTTCTGGCCACTGAACGCACATGACACACATGAGCTCATGCAGGTGCATACACACACACACACACACACACACACACACACACACAGACACATGTTAAATAAATAAACCTTAAAAAAAAAGTTGGGCATAGTGGTATACACTTGTAATACCAGCACCTGGAGAGGAGGCAGAAAGATCAGGAGTTTAAGGTCAACCTCAGCTGCATAGGGCGTTAGAAGCTAGCCTGGGTTACAGTAGAGAGATGCCTAACTTCTACACTTTCTTTTGGGTATTCCCTCTTCTGGGTTGTCCATGTGTTCAGCTATCTGGAAGCTCTCCAAACTGTCCTTTGGGGTTTTTGTGGAGACGGCATGGGCAGCTTGTCCGAGTGTGGCTGAGTAAAGTGGATAATGGGAGAAACTAAGTAAAGCACCTTTGTGCTGAGAGAGGAGTGTGGGAAACTATCCATGAGGAACTCAGGTGGAGAGTGCCTGTATTGTGTCTGCCCTGCTGCACTAGGATGTTGGCAGAAACCCTCACCAGGTGGGAGTCACAAAAGACCAGTTTTCTAGCACCTCTCAGGCTGCTGCCCCAGGAAGTACAGATCTGACCACCAAAGGGATAGCTAGCAGATGACCCACAGCCCGGGCCATCTCTTCCCAAATTCACAGCCTATTCTGAAAATGCTTAGCCGACCTTACACTTCCTGTGTTTGCCAGGATCTTGATAAAAGGTATGAAGTAGCCACATCTGCATTCCTTTGCTTTCCCAGTGTCTCAAAAGTTCCCAACCATTTATTTCCCAGAGAACCTGTAGGTGGGAAGTAACAGTTGCAAAGGCAGTAATCTGTCAGAGCTGGCTTCTGAACCCTCTATGAGGTTTGTTGAGGAAATTACTCTCTTTACATATGTTTTGTTACATTCCTCTTAAGGTAAATTCACCTGCCAACTGTTAAATTATAGTCATTAGATCCTAATGGTTCTCTATTTTTATTTCTCTCTTTCCAGATAACACAGCTGATGAAACACAGACAACAGATAAGAAAGGTAAATGAGAACTTGGTCCTTCGGGAGCTAAAATGAAAGTTTCTTTGAATCCAATTTTTGAGAAGAATTCTATTTTTTCTTGGATCTCAGTCTAACAAGAACAGAATGGACCATCTTCCAAAAAAGATGATTCCCTTCCTTCCTCCCTCCCTCCCTCCCTCCTTCCCTCCCTCCTTCACTTACTTTTTAAAGTGCTGGGAATTGAACCTAGCACCTTATGCATACTAAACCAATGCTCTACCATTAAGTAACACCCACAGCTCACTTTAACTTTTGACTTTGAGACAGAATATCACTAAGTTTTGCCCAGGCGGGTACTAAATTTGCAATCCCTCTGCCTCATCTTCACAGATAGCTGGGATTATAGGACAGCTCTGCAGGCCCAGCACCTTCAATTTTATAGTTATTAAGAGAGAAAAGGAGATGTCGTGCATTTGAAAGGAAGACTAGAGACACAATTCAGTTGTAAAGCACTTTGATATAGGATGGGACCCCAGTACTAAAATAAACGCATACACAATACTCTCTCTGCCTCCCTGCACACTTCTCTCTCTCTCTCTCTCTCTCTCTCTCTCTCTCTCTCTCACACACACACACACACACACACACACACACACACACACCTTTCTCCCTCCCTCTCTCACACAAACACACAGAGTGCATTTACTTAATGACAGCTGTGGAGAATGACAACACTTCACAGTTTCCTGCTACTCTATTGTATTGAATAAGCTGACATCCTTGCTCTTCATTGTTATGGAAATACTTTGAGGTTTTCTATTTAAATAATGTTAGCTGTAGCTTTGCCATACAGAGCCTTTATTGTGGTGAAACATGGTCCTTCTATTCTGAGTTTTCTGGGGCTTTTGTCATTGACTAACCATAAAGAAGCATGGCCATCAACAGCGAAGCCAGCGTGTTATGTGTGGTAAATTCAGAGACTCAGAAACCTCTTGATTCACAAGATGGGATCAGGGTGGGGCTGAGGCTTGGTGGCATGGTAGCACACTCAAGGCCGGGGTTTGCTCCCAGGCACCAAGAAGAGAAAACTGGCTTCCACACCTGACTCGGGCTCAGCTGTACTTGGGAGCTGTGCAGAGACCACTCAGTGCTGAGCTCGGCAGAGCAGTGCCAGTGCTTGAATCTGCTAATTACTGGGACTCATGGTTCTTTCCCCTTCCATTCAGATGGCTTGGCAGTAGTAACCCTGGTTGGAATCATAGTTGGAGTCCTGTTAGCCATCGGCTTCCTTGGAGGGATCATCATTGTGGTTATGAGGAAAATTTCTGGAAGGTTCTCGTAAGTAACCTCTTAACCCTATGTGATATGTGAACATAGGCAGTCCTGCTCTCCACTCTAGAAACCTCTGCACAAGGTCGTCTTCGGAAGCCCATCGCTGCCACAGGTGCAGCCCCTGCTGTTTTCCAGGGACAGATGTCAGTGTTGGCTTTACAAGTTTCTGAAAACCTACTCAGAGCCCAAGACTGACTTCCTAGGAGGTCTGAGCAGATTGGATCTCTCGTATTAATTTCCCAACTACTGAAACTTAAAAAAAAAAATCCAAACCAAGGTTTAACTTGTTTCCTAATCTTGCACTATCCAGCTGTCAAAGGCAGGTGCACTGTGGGAAAAGGAGCACCTGTCCCAGTGCCAGGCCCCTGTGTTCTCTCTCTCTCTCTCTCTCTCTCTCTCTCTCTCTCTCTCTCTCTCTCTCTCTCTCTCTCTCTCTCTCTCTCTCTCGGGTCATTGCCTCTTCCTGACCCTGACTTTCGGAGGGAAGAGCCTTATTCCTGGCTAAGCTTCCTTCACAGTGTTTCAACTCAGCACCAGAGAACTGTGACGATGGGTGGGGAGGGGAGAGGATGAGTCATCTACAACTGGGAGGTGCGCTGATAAACAGCTGTCAATGCATCATGTTTGGGAACATCTGGACTCCTTTGCAAGGGTTAGGTGTGGAAGGGAGTAACTGGGGAAGAAGGGCACAGGGTTCTGGCACAGAAACCACAGAACAGGACAATAGGCTCAATGACTGTGGGGCGGGGAGTGACTAGTCCCAGCAACAGTAAAAGGAGTAATAATTCTCTTCATTTTCACAGGCCCTAAAGAGCTGAACAGATCAGGCTGTTCCCCCAACGTATCTGAAAATAAGAGTGCTTCCAACTTCCCCTGCTCCCCGTTCTCTGCTTGTGGAGGAAGATGACCCATGAAATGCCCCCCACCCACAGCCATGGCGACTCCTCCACTTGCCAGAGGTACCAAAGGACAGACCCATGACAAGCCATGGCCCCTCAAAGCATATGCCTTTGGATAACAAACATTTTTAATATAAGTTTTGTAATAAAGGATTCAAAAGACAACATGCATAGAAAATGGAGCAAAACTATGTAAACTGACTTGTAACCAAGACAGAGCCACCAGTTGGCTTTAGCAACTGTAACCATGGCTTCAACCTGGCCATTCCCTACTACTGTTAAAAGGCGAAGGAATCTGGAAATGTTTATTGAATCTGTGGAGCAGTTGGCTCCGGTATTACGTCAAAGAGTCATGGGCCTTTTTGCTGTTGCTAACCTAGTGATATGTACACATTCTGGGCTAGTGGGGTCTGTGTTTAAATGTGTTTGAGTCATAAAGTAGAAAATGTAAACTTAAAGTCAGGCATGATGAGGCCCCTTAAGGGAATCCGGTTGGACCATTTCAGAAGCACCCATTGTGGCTTTACTTCCAGGAAGATACTATGCTGTTTACAATTCTCTAAACCATCTCCAAGCCATGATACCTTCGTGGCCCAGAGGTCTGTCCCCTCTGCTTCCCTTGGGTGACTCCAAGTAAAGGAGTCACATCCTCATCTACCTAGACTCAAACCTTCGGATGAGCTTCTCCTTTCTGGACTGTGGAGGTCTTATCCCAGATGTTGGATGTCGCAGGATGCCAGAGGCTCAGCAGCTGTAGCCCCAAGAATGGAACTTGGTCCTTAAACAGAAGAGATTCCTGAATGTGCTTTGGTGTAGGAAATAAACCGACCAGTTTCTAGCATCTGCCTTCTGCCTCTGAGGAAAGACAGGGAAAGCAAAAATAATCTTGTGTAATCTTAGTTGCTCTTATATGGCTGGATGTCAAGGTCTGATTTTAAAATAAAAGATGCTTCCAGTCTTCATGACATACCACACCTTTCCGTGGGTTTAGTTGAAAAGGTCCAAATAAAGAGTCCATGGGGATGTCCTGCCTCTGCCACCCAGCCCGGCACTTCTCTCCTGTGGATGTATTGAGTTCTTCTCCTGCACAGTATCGAACACTAGCCTGGCCAGATAACCCTGAAGACTGTGATTATATGATTCTTAACATCCTCTAGCCTAGGAAGAGTTCATACGATGGGGAGAAAAGTAAACCAATGTGCCTGTGTGTTGACCCAGCCCGGCTTGCCCAGCAGGTTGCAGGCTGGCTAAGAGAAGCAGATTAGAGGGGTGAAAGGATCATCTTCCTTACCATCAGTCAGCTTCCAAACTGGAGCTAGAAGTAATACCCCTTTCTCCTTTCTATCCTTTCCCTTCCCACCTCCACCCCACCCCCTCCCTGTGGAAGAATAACAGTCCAACCCAAGCTATACATAGGCGTGCCTGCTGGGACCAGGCTGTGGTGTCATGGTCACCTGTGTTGCTCTCCATGCAGTGTAGAAATCTTTTAAAATAAAACGTGATTGTGTACAAACATGAGTCCAACCTTTGACTGGGAAATTCCACTGAGTCTGGTTGTCATTTCTGCTAATATTATAACATTTATTTATTTTAATTATGTATGTTTTTTGAGACAGGGTTTCTCTGTGTAGCCCCTGCCTATCCGGAACTTGCTTTGTACACCAGGCTGGCCTAAACTGCCATACAGCCAGCTAAGAGTATGCCTTTTATATCCAGCCGCCTGTTGACTTAAGGGGGAGAGAGTATCCATGATCATGGGAAGTTTATCCCCAGGAAAAAAAAGCAACCACTTTCACCAATATCTCTACTAAAGGCCAAGGAGAGAAGTAGTATGAAAACTACGTGACATCTTGGGTCTTTGAACAATTTTATCTTGCCTTTGACACTCAAGGCCTCCCTAGAAACCTGACTTTGGATCCAGGGCTTAGCTGTTCAAGAACAGGAGGGAATAGAAGGGAAGGGCCCGCAGACCTGGGCAGCAACACCTCCATCCAGAACCCGTTTCTCACCAGTCAGGGGACTGGTCCCTTGCCATCTGTCCCTCTGTACCCTACCACTCCGCTGGGATTCTGAAGTCTGTACTCACTGTAAAAGTTGAGTTAGCAGTAGTTGCCTTTGCCTCTTTGAAGGTAAGTGAAGACAGGGGCTGCTGAGATGGCTCAGTGGGTAAAGTCACATTCTATAGAAGCCTGAGGACATGAGTTTGATCCCTTGGGACCTGGGGGGTGCGGTGGGGGGGGGGAGAATTGATTCTCCCGATATCCATTCATACTCACATATGCACACAATAATAAAGTTTTAAATCAACAAAAGGAATAGAGATTGGATATCCCTTATATCTGAAATGCTGAGGACCATAAGTGTTCAGACTTTTTTTGGGGGGGTTGTTTTGACACAAGTTTATATTCTGAAAATGTTATGTCATTTTTGTGTGTTTTGCCAGCGGGTATATCTGTATATCTGCTCTGTATGTGTGTCTGGTACCTGTGGAGGGCATGGGATCCCCTAGAACTGGAGTTAAGGATTGTTGTGAGCTGTCATATTACTGTTGGGGATTGAACCCAGGTCCTTTGGAAGAGTAGCCAGTGCCCTTAACTGCTGAGCCATCTCTTCAGCCGCTTGAGATAGAGTCTTGTCTCACAACCTAGGTTGCCCTTGTACTCACAATCCCCCAACTCAGCATCCCCCATTCTGAGATTGTAGGCACTATGCCTGGCTCCGGACGTTAGAATGTGGAATATTTTTATTGGACCCTTAATCTAACACTCTGAGATCTATGGCACTCCAATGCATACTGTTAACTGAAACATTTTATTTTTTGCATTTCCGATTTCAAAGTTTGGAATGCTCCACCTGTCCTCAGGTTTTATTCAGTTGGGGCTGTTGAATTTGCTGGACATCAGGAATCCAGGGTGCCTGGTTCCCCAGGGAAGACTGAGATTTTCGTTCACCCATTGCCTTTTTTATAGATGCAACTCCTTGGGCAAGCCATGTAACCTTTGGGGTTCATTTGTAACTACTTCTGGAGGCAGTGCAGAAAGCTCTTGTTTCATGGAAAGCTACTAATGCCTCCTACCCTCACCCCCAAAGGGGAAGCCCTCCTGTTTGTCTAGTGCACTTTTGTCTTCCATTGTAAACACTCCCAGGGGAGTGCTAGAAAGCAGAAGGAAGGTCTGCCGAGGGCTTGGGATGTTTAAGGAAATGACTTTGTCTGCTCCTCCATCCCAGACAAGTGCATGTGTGTAACAGATGATTGTAACAGAGTCCACTAAAGCCAGGATAAGAGTATTTAGTGGGGGAATCTCTCATGAAAAGCAAAGCAAGGTAGAGAACCGCTGAGGTCTCCTGCCCTAAGGTGGTAGACACTGCCATCTGCTCCATGACCCAAGGGAGAGAGCTCACCTCCGGGTCCTCCCGGTCTGCATGTAGCACCCGAGAGACTGCCCTAAGGAGCCGGTATCTCAAAGAATTGGCTAAATGAGTTCCCACAACACATGTCTGTGCACATGTGATCTGGTGCCTACAGAAACCGGAAGGGATTGTTGAATCCCCTAGAGCTGAAGTTACAGGTGGTTGAGGGCCAGCCAATGGAGGTGTCAGGAACTGAGCTCAGGTCCTCTGTGAGAACAGTGTTCCTAACTGCTGAGCCATCTCCAGCACACCTACCTGCCAGGCAGCTTTAAAAAAAACAAAGGTTATATATTCAGCATCTTTCTTGTTAGCTTGCTCCTAAGGTCAGAATTAATTGGATTTCCACAGCCAATAACTTGATAATGATCATTTCGCCTTTCTATTTCCCTTCATATGTGTGACTGTTTTTAAATGAAATTATTTGGATAAGACAGGTTTATTATTTTCAAAATGATAGAAATGTCTCATTTACATTCCATAAAAATTTATTTGGGGCTGGTAACTTAATATAACTACAACTTAGTAAAACTGAAGGACTGCATTTGCTTTTAAAGTATAATTTATTAAAAAAAAATGGGAGATATTTTCTTTGGTTTTGCAGAGGTTGTACAAGTGTGAGAGAATTATGTGTGCAAATTTGGGTTGTGTATAAACACATGCTTGGTGTGTGTGTGTAAATTTGTGTGGTGTATACACACATGCTTGGTTGTGTGTGTGATTTTGTGTGGTGCATATACATATACTTGGTGTGTGTGTGGTATTGTGTGTGCATGTATACCAGGCATGGGAAACCTTCCTTCCAGTTGTTGGTCAAAGTGATTCAAGAGACTCCCAAAACAATACAGGATATTGACATTGCTCTCCTTTAATTAAAAAAAAAAGACCCTATTGTTAAAGACACCACACACTACAGACATGGAGCAATCGAGCTTGGACTGGCCTGGAAGCCTCCTTTCTCAGGACTAGCTCTCAGGGAATGAGAAAGTGCCATGCAAGTTGCCAAGGGAGAAAAGCAAACAGCAGTCCCACCCAATGTAAAGCCTACAAACCACAGCCATGACTGGCCTAGCAGGATAGCTCCAAGGAAGGAGGCAGTAGTGGCACTCATGTTTGGGGTGTAACAAACAGCTATCTAACTGAGCTTGACGCCCGTTCAAATGGGAGCAAATTCATGCCTGGTACAGTAAACCTGGCCATGGCAACAGAGGTCATAGACACTAAAAGAGAAAATACTGCTGCCATGATCCTAAATCAATACAGCTTTTAATTGTGTTTTAAATATTTATCTACACTCTCACAGATAGATTTTTCTCTCTGGGAAAAGTTCCCTGATAGGTTGTCTAATCCCAAGTGGCTCAACCCTAATTAGTACATAAAACAACACTAAATGGACTCTCTAGGTTAGGTGTATAAATGTAACAATAATTATTATAGAAGAAGAGGTCACAGATTTCAAGGGAGCAAGCTGGGCACAGGAGAATTTGAAGGGGGGAGAGAGGAGGAAATGATGTAGATACAGTACTCAAATAAAATTAAACAAAACAAACAAAAAAGTCGGGCATAGACTCAGGCACCTGTATTGCCAGCAATGTGGGGAGGGTTGAAAACAGGATGGGTGAAGATTCTTGGGGTTTGTTGACTCCAGGCTGAACAGGAGACCTTGTCTCGAAATACAAAGAGAATAGTCACTGAGAAACATATCCCATGCCAGGAAAGGAGGAAAGCTACCACAAGCTAACTTGTGTGGAGCCACCAGAAGCTAGAGGTGTCTGGACCACTTTCCTAGAGCTCTTTTTCTGCCCACTCTTGACTGCAGGTGCGAATCCTCCGGAAATGGGGTAGAAAACTCCTGTTGTTTCCACCCACTCAATCTAGTGCCATCTGTCACAGATGCCTTGGGAAGTTAACGCCCCTGTGAGTAACCCACCTCGAGGGAGGAAGCTCCCCACTCCTGCCCAGCCCATCCCAGATGGAAAGCAACCCTAACCTCTTCACCTTGAGCCATTCACCTGATGCTTCCAAACAATGGGCTGGCAGGCATTGTACTTCCTTTGTGACCAACAGATGTTGACTAGGCTTTTCTGGACTGTCATTGTAGTTTATTGTTAATGATGGAGGAATCCATGTTGAAAGACATATGGCCTAGAACAATAGGCATAGGCAACCCTGTAATGGGGAGTAGAATTCAGGGAAGGCCAAACTGCGCCAATTTCTATACTCATCATGGTCACTAACCTTAAACATTTTCCCTGGTCAAAGCTCAGTTTGAATGTATAATTCATGCAATGAAACTTCTGCTGTAAATAAAATTCCAACAGCTACTCAACAAGCACTCACAGATACTTCCTGAGGTCCAGTGTCAAAGATGTTAGTAATGGGATGGCATTATTCTAATCAAAGTGCGTGGGACCCATTGTCCTTTGGGTCTGTAGCTAAAAAGGCGAGTTTCTCAGAGATGAGGACTTTCTTCATTCACAAAGTCCTGAGCAGGCGAACTTGTAAAAGTGATTGCTGCTCTCCTCCCCTTCTCTTTCTCCTATCTCCCTCTCCACTCACTGCTC